AAGAAGAGCTCAGGCAACACAGCACTGTCCAGAAAGAGGCCAGAATAGCTGATGGGGAAGTGGGGAAGAGGTGCAGAGTAGTCCAAAATCTAAAATCTATTAAGAGGTTAGGAGATGTCCTGTCCTAGCCCACGCGGCACGCATCAAGTTTGACTACTTTATTGAGCCACTGCAAGCTCCTAATATGATTCCCCAGGTCTCACTGACACAAAGTCCCACTGAGACTGAGTCTGCTAACGCACAAAGTCATAAGCAACAACCCACCCAAGGACAAAGCACAAGTCTGCAAATCCACATACAAAGTCCAAAGTCGAGGCATGAGTCTAAAGTCCAAGCACTGTTACCAAAATCAAGATCCAAGTCCAAAATCAAGTGCAAAATCCAGGGTCCAATCACGAGATCAGAAAATTAGTTGCAGATTCAGAATCAAGAAAACAAGAAGTCAGTGCACATACACAGCAGGGAAGTGAATAGTTATCTTCAGTGCTGCTTTATTACATGTGTTGTGCTAGCTGGTGCAGCTCATTGGGAAAGGAAAGGCTCCTCATGAGTAGCCTCACCGACTTCTGTTTCGCCTCCCTCTATTTGGCTCTACATGCTCTGAGATCCAAAGGGATAAACAGTTCCTTTTTGGCTCTGCCGACCCACTGCAGCTGCATCCCTTCTTCAGCCTGTGCCTCTGGATGGGGATCCAGACTTCCAGGCAGCAGCTGTGCCTCTCTCCTCTTCAGCCAGGCACTTGTCCAGTCCCTCCAATGTTCCTAGCCTTGCCTCCTCTTGCCCACCCACTCCTGGCATGGAATCTTCTGCATCCTCCCAATGCTCCTCTACACTCCACTCTAAAATCATCATCTGAGCTGGTGTCCATCAAACCATTATAGCAAGTTTTAGTTTTAGTTTGACAAGATTCTGTTCATTAGGTGTAAGCAAATAAAGAATTGATTTGATTGTATTTTGTTCAGTCATCTTTGGACTGATTTGTTTACTACCACTTTTTTATTTATTTTATATTATTTGGTTTGTCAATTGCTTACAAGATAATGGGTATAAGTAAAAACATAGTTATGAATACATGGATACATATAAGAAAAATAAATAAATACAATAGGACAGGGATGGTAGGCACGTTGGTGCGCTTATGCCCCTTACGCCCCCTACAGACCTCTTAGGAAAGGGGTGAGGTCAATAGTAGAAAGTCAAAGATTAAAGTTTTTGGGGTTTGGGGAAGAAATCACAGAGTCAGGTAGAGTATTCCAGACATTGACCATTCTGTTGCTGAAGTCATATTTCCTACAAACAAGTTTGGTGCGATTAACCTTGAGTTTGTATCTATTGTTTGCTCTTGTATTGTTATGGTTGAAGCTGAAGTATTCATTGACAGGTAGGACATTGCAATGTATGATTTTATATACTATACTTAGATTGGACCGAAAGCGGTGTAGTTCTAGGTTTTCTAGGTCTAAAATTTCGAGTCTGGTGGCATAAGGTATTCTGCAACGAGTAGAGGAGTGGAGAACTCTTCTTGTGAAATATTTCTGGACTTTCTCAACTGTGTTAATAAAAGATAAATAATGTGGGTTCCAGACTGATGAGCTGTATTTGAGTATTGATCTAGCAAATGTTTTGCATGCTGTATTTAGTAGTGTAATATTACCAGAGAAAAAGCTACATAAGATTAGGTTAACAACTCTTAATGCCTTTTTGGCTGTGTAGTTACAGTGGACTCTAGCACTTAGATCATTTGAGATGAGTACTCCAAGATCCTTGACAGAATTTGGATCATCAACAAGGTCTTGACTATTCAGCCTGTATTTTATTTTCTGATTATTATTATTTTGCCAATATGTAGGACAGAGAATTTATTTGTTGAGATTTGAAGTTGCCATTTGTTTGACCATTCTGATACATAGTCAAAGTTTTTTGAAGGGTAGCAGTATTGTCTGTGGTGTTGAATAGCTTTACAAATCTCTCTCCTTCCCTTTGTATCTCTCTCTCTCTCTCTCTCTCTCTCTCTCTCTCTCTCTCTCTGTATCTTGCTTTCCCTCGGCCCCTGTCTCGGCCCTCTTCTCACTCTCTCGGAATAGTCCTGCATGCTCTCCTTGGGGCTCTTCGCTGTCCCCTTTTCTTTCTTCCTTTTGGAAATCTGGGCTGGCTGAAGAACGAGAGGAGGAGGAGAGGGAGGAGGGAACCCTCCACTGCGGCTTCTGCTCATTCCTCAGCTAACCCAGATTTCCAAAAGGAAGGAGGAAAAAAGGATAGTGAAGAGCCCCAAGTGGAGCACGCAGGACATTCTGAGGGTGTGAGAAGCTTCTTTTCTTTCTTCTTGGCAAGTTTTTGGAAATCCAGGTTGGCTGAGGAATGAGCGCAAGCCGTGGCAGAGGCTTCCTTCCTCCCTCTCCCCTCCTTCTCGTGTGCACCCTCCAGGCCCCACCATAGCCGGCTCCATAGCTGTTCGCTGTTCTTGCAGCACCTGTGCAGCACACTCAAATTTAGTGCACTTTACTCCATCCCCTCCTCCTCCTCCTCCTCCTGGAGCCCATTACAATGTGGTGCATTGGAGCTGCCACCTTCAAGGCGCCAGCTCCGGAGCAGTGCAACAGTCAATGGGGTGACTCTGCAGGGCCTCAAACGCCCCCCTGCCATCTCTTAGTGCCCCCTGCCAGCCCCCTTGCCTCTTAGCACCCCCTAAGGCATCCCACCGCCCTCCAGGGGTGGTACCGCCCACTTTGGGAACCACTGGTCTATAAGATCATAGTTGCTTTTGTTGAAGTTATAATTGGGGATCACATCATTGTGTTGATTTTTGTGTGGACGTAAGTTGAGACAAAAGTCAATCATATTGTGGTCACTGTTGGAAAAGGGTTCTTTAATTTGTATTCTGTAAATTGAATTCAAACTATTGCAGAAGATGAGATTGAGGCAGTTGTTAAGTCTAGTATTGTTGGTTACTAGTTGTTCCAGTCTCAGGTTTGTTACAGCATTGTAGAAGGTTGCATGTATGGGTTCAGTTTTACATTTGTTTAGGGTCCAGTTAATGTGAGGTAGATTGAAGTCACCAAGAAAGATAAAAGTGTGTGGGCAGGATGTTCCCCATGTTAGTAGTGAACTTAGCTTGTTTATATGTTCGATGTCATAATCAGGTGCTCTGTAATATAGTAAGAATCAAAATGTGATATTTAAGGACAGTTCACAGATGATGGTCTGTGACTTACATACTTACACTGTTTGATTCCCCTTTATGGGGTAGGTTCTATTAGCTTTGCTGTAATTCTGTGATATTTTCAAGCTTGACCATAAAATACCATTGCATAAATGGGATTTGTATCTTGGTTAATCTTTGTTTGGTCATTTTACTAAAAAGTTGAATCCGTAAAATATGTGGGCCTACATTTATTTGGATAAAATCTCAAATTTGGTCTGTAAATGGTGTGCTGGGGTCTCTAATGCAAAGGGTACATTGGATAGAATCATTGTAAATAATTAAAACCTAAATTATAATCATATTAAATTAATGAGTATTCAATGGGGTATTCTAATTTATTCTAATTTAATAGCATATTAAAAAATACAATTCAGTAGATGTTGGTGTCTATTCAGAGACCTAGGACACAGATTGTGCAACATCCCAACTTGCCACTTACTCCATCTGGTCCTTACATCCTATCAACTGGAACACCCCCCACCCCCAATAAAAACAACATTTGGGAGAAATCTAGAAAACAGAGTTTTTACATTGTGGCATAAAATGTGTCAAATCTTACATGGCATTTATATCATTTTTAGAAAAAAATGTGAAAGTAGAAAAGCCAGGAGAACTTTTGTATTTAGAATGCAGATTACTTAATAAATGTAATGTCAATGAGAATAAACATTTTAATTAAACTTCTGTTATTTTGTTTACTGAATAGTTTATTGCTGCTTTAGGTTGTAAATTATCCTGAGTAGTCTAGCAGCGTGACAGTAGAGAAATATAGTGGTAAAGTAGACTTCTACCTTAATATATATTGTACCAAATATTTCCTGCAGCCATTTATTAAAATAATTTGTCAAAGTTTGTTAATTAAGAGACTAGAATTCATGCAATTTAAACGTTTTTATATTGTGAACCACTGTTGGATATTTTTTCTGGCTCACACACTATCTTATATTATGGCCAGTACCTTGATGGGTATCACAAAATGTTTCAATTTAAAAATCCAGTATGTGCTCCGAGTCAAATTTTAACAATTACAAGACACACTAATTGTTTCTACCACAACTGTTGTAGAGTAATCCAAACAAATTATAGGTTGCCAAAAATAAATTAAAAGTGTGCATTAAAATGTACTTTTAATCACTAATGTGATCATGTTCTTGAATTTTGCATTGTACTCAATAGTTTAGTGTAGCTAAAATTGATATTTTAATGATGCTCCAGACTTAACTTAAAAGTTAAAAAAAGCACTAATTAAGGTGAAAGTAATGTCTCTCTTCAATCTATGCTAAAGAAAATAATTGTCAACATGTTGCAGGCTGCAATTGTATTACTGGAAATGCCAATTTAAATTAGTTTTGCATAAAAATAGTAAATAGTAAGCCCAGAAACAATATTTCAAAGTTCATTTCCTCCAGATAAAGCCTATCCCAACATTGCAAAACAGGCTGGAACAAATGAGACCTATTTTATAATAAATAATTTAAGAAATAATTTAATTCACAATGAGATAGTGACCTGTTGCAATAAATCAATAAATGAGGAAGCTTGGGAGACATTAAAATGTTATCTGGTTTTACAATGAAATTTTAGCAGCAGAAAAAAAATCCTATAAATAGAGTAAAAGCATGCAGAAATGAAATTTAAATATAAAATATTAGTTCAGAGGTCTGAACCAAGAATATGTTATTTCCAAAACTATAAAGTTTCCTTAGGTTAGGATTAATTATCTTTTTTAAAAAAAGCCTCACAGTTTTAGCAAAGAATTAGCAAGTATAATTCTTTTTTCTCTTTTTCTCTTTTGCAGAGGAAGAATTGGCCTCTTCTTTTGAGCATTGGTTTATTGATCTTCTGGGGAGCTTTATTACTGGGTCTTCGCTTCTATTGGATGGGGAACAAACCTCCCAGCTTTTCCAACTCTGACAACCCAGCAGCTGACTCAGATAGTTTTTTAACACGAGCTCTGACCTTTTTTTATTTGCCAACCAAAAACCTTTGGCTGCTGTTTTGCCCAGACACTCTTAGCTTTGATTGGTCCATGGATGCTGTGCCTCTTCTCAAAACAATCAGTGACTGGAGGAACCTTCACACAGTGGCCTTTTATGCTGGATTCCTCCTCCTTACTTATACCAGTTTGAAAAATTCCAGCATAGAAAGAGCAGGCAATGGGAAAAATATAACAAATGGCAGACTTAATGGCAATGGTCACAACTACCTATCTGAACTGGAATATAAAGAGTTGAGATCCAGTTTTGCATCTAAAGAAGAGAATGGCATTAACAAAGGCTTATCACAAAAACCACACATCCCCTCAACAGAGAATATTGTGGTTCTGTCGCTATCTTTATTAATTGTTCCTTTTATTCCTGCAACAAACTTATTTTTTTATGTAGGCTTTGTGATAGCAGAGCGTGTGTTGTATATACCCAGTATGGGCTTCTGCCTCTTGATCACTGTGGGCACAAGAGCCCTTTATGTCAAAGTCCAAAAGCGCTTTCTGAAGAACTTGATTTTTTTGGCTAGTGCTGCATTAATTTTTTTTTACGGGCTGAAGACATTTATCAGGAATGGGGACTGGCAGAATGAAGAGATGCTGTATAAATCAGGGATTAAAGTAAATCCAGCTAAAGGTAACATTTTCCATTGGGATTATTTGCAACAAATGGATCCGTTTATTGTGTATTTTTTAATTTAGCTATAACAGTTATTTTTGGAAAATGCATAGATCCTATATTTACAATCATAAATAAAGTACAGAAATAAACAATGTACTATACTGAGATACAATTTCATATTACTTGCTTATTCAGAGGATTCATTGAATGTAGGGTGAAAACAAGTTGAAAAGTACAGAAATGTTTTGCTAATATGTTTTATGTTTCTGAATCTTGGTATTACAATATCTCATGTAAGAACACTTCTTACAGAAACATCTTTGAAAAAAATGGGTAGTTTGAATTATTTACTGGTTAGGTTTTTAAATTTATGAATCACTTTCTATTCATGAACTGAATTTTCTCCCCTTCTTTTTGGAATAGCATCATTTTTCCCAGTGGTAAGATGTTACTCCTATTTGTCTTAATATAGGTGAAACAACATTCACGTATTCTGTTAGTGTTTGGGGACAAACCCCCAAACAGAATGTGCAGCAGCAGTCAAGCCAGGCAGCCAAATGAGAGAGGAAGGGCCCTAGAGTTTACACACACTGATGACAAAAACACTGTTTGTAGTTTAAATAGTTGTTTAATCCAATTAGAGTTTAAACATTGTCAATCAGTCCATATGTCATTCACAAATATATCCATTCAGTAACTTAGTCCATTTACAAGTCAGTTCTATATCCTTATCTTCTTGTAAAGATATCTTCTCCTCTGATACCTTTCCTTTTGAAGACAACGCTGAGTATTCACAGGATATCAGCACATCAATGAAGTAGTCCTTTCGTTCAGGTATTCAAACAGTTGTAGCAAATAGTAGCAAACAAACAGTAGCAAGCAGAAATCAAGCAGAGATCAAGCAGAGAGATTACGTTTCTCTTACTGCCTTTTATTGCCGTTTGTAACCGCACCCTTAATTAGTTAATTACAAGCAGTTTTGTGCTTAAAGCTACAAGTTACAAACTCCCAAACCTTGGTTTATATATTTATTCACCCAAACTTAGTTGGTGTATCAATGTTATACCCAACATATTCCTCAGTTTCCATGAAGAAATGTCTGTAGGTTTTGTATTGTTAAAATATTTGGGAAAATAGGGCCTAATAATTAAACCACAAGGAAAATACAAAATGTGGTTTCATTGGTATAAAGCAAGAGCCTTTGAGACTGGAGAACTAAGAGTAAATTCTGATAAATTTAATTGTCACATTGCTAAATTTTCAGAAGTTTAATGAATTTAATTGAATTTAATAAATTTAAGTTTAATGCAAACAAAAACAAACAGAAAAATGAGTGTTCAAGTTACTGTTTCTGTTGAAAATAATGTACAGTAAGAAATAACTTGTAAGATGCATAAAATCCCTCTTCCTCCATCAAAAGATCTTATACTGTAGATGGGATGCAATTAATGCACTTTCTATTTTTTAAGAGAACTGTGATGACCCAGAGTATCTCAGAAATATAACAAAAACCAAAATGTAAATAAAAATCCTTTAATGCCTTCAGCTTAGCTTCACTGTTTAATTGTTCACAGTGGAGGAGTAAACTATAACATTTCAAAGGCAAGAAACACAGTTCACATTCAAAGAGCCGATAACGAAGCAAAAACCAAAAACAAACCACACTGAATAAAGTTCCTTGACAGACCAGGATAGATAATTGCCAATTTCAGGAAGATAACCAGGTACAGTCGATTGGAAGAACTCCAACCAAGATAAAACTTCTTTAGAAATAAAACACTAATTTGTCTCCGGCATCTGTTAGCACGCAGGTCCAAACTCTTATGCAGATCTCACACCTGCAACCCATGAAGAGGATCATGGACCTCTCCTCCCGAGTAGATCACATTTTGCCCTGATCCTCTCCTCTCTGCGTGCCCTAGGATGGATAAGGGATGGGCCTGGGTCCTTCTCTGACTGCTCAGAGTCAGTCTCCACCAGGGGCATGACAAGAACATTTATGAGATTAAAGATTGTTTGCTACAGTGCTACAGCAAAATGATTTATTACATTTGTTCAGGTTTCTAAGATTTTTTTTAAATTGTGTATAGATGCAAAAAGGGAAATGTAGGAAGAGAAGAGTGCCCATTTACATGAATCATCTTTACCCAATTTGTATATTTTCCTATAATATGCCATGGCACAGCTCATTCCATTCAGTTTGTTCAACCATTCCATTCCATGCGATCAGTTCGGAATCTGAGGAGGAAGGCCTAGGAAATAAGTTCTGTCCTTGAATTACAGAAGATTTTCTTGAATGAATGAATGCTTCCAAGGCTCAGGAATGAAGACAGAATTGAATGACATTGTCTTCTTTCCATTTAATGTTTTGAATCCTAATACCGATTGTTACTATTGTGTTTGTATTTTAACTATTTCATTCAGAGATGTATATTTTGATACCTACATTCTTTTTCCCCTTAAAATATTGCTAGTTGAAGGGTAACCAAATATCTGAATGTCTGCTTTCCATTCACTGAAGCCAGAAGCAGAGGATTGTGGAAAATGTCAGCCAAAATATCTGGAAGTCGCTAGATAACTTTCACCCAGTTTGGATATGTCCAACTCCCCCCCCCCCCCATATTTTAATAAATTTTGCAAATACAGAATAAAGAAAATAACAAAACAACTGTTGCAAGCAAGACACAGAAAAGGGAAAAGGAAAAAAAGGTATGTATAACAAATATAAAATTAACAATAAACATATGGCCTCCACCCTAGTTGAATGTTGATACATGTGTCTCATACAAATCTAATAGGTTCCCTCCCTTGTCTTGTTGGTCTACAAATGACTATACATTTTCATTTATACTTGCTAAATTACTAATTTACATCACATTCTTTTAACATATATCTCAAATATACAAATCTATTATCTATCAATCAAATCAATCCAATACCTGTTCACAGTATTTTTTAACAGTAAAAAAGTATTAACTGTTAAACCACCCTCAAAAATAAATACATACCTTTCAATAAGTTGCTCTTTAACTCTGCCAATTCCACCAACACATATTGTCCCAGTTATATATTCTTATCAGACAGATAAACAATGTTCACCCAGAAGAGCTCTCCATTAATAGATTAAAAAAGAATCAAATAATCTGAAAAACAAGTTTTAATCAAGATGACTAATATGCTTGGGTACACAAATAGCTGACAAAAAATTAATAATAGCATGTAAAATAATGATAAGGCTGTTTTAACCTGTACTGCAGTACCTAATTTAATAGTAGGATGTTTATTTATGAGTTTAGTGAACTGATACTAATGAACTATTCAAAAACATGACTCACAGATTTGCTTATTGTCACTGAAAATCACCACAGATATACAGAGAAGAACATACTGAAACAACTGCTGTCTTAAAGGGTTATGGACAAAGACTTTGAGCACCATCTGAGGACAAATGACAGTGAGGATTCAGATGCCTAATTCTATACCAGTTTCATGCCTATTCTTTTCCCATTTAATATATTGTTTTGCTTTCAAAAGAGTGACATGCATTATTTATTATTATTTACTTTATTAAATTTATTAGCCGCCTGTTTTGCCACAAAGCAACTCTGTAAGGTTTGTGTATTGTTAGTTACTTTCTGAATTTGGGAAAATAGTAAATATGGCTACTTAAGGAAGTTCAGTGTCGCTGAAAGACTGATAGTGTCAAGTATTTATTGCCAGCTTGCTGAAAGCCTAGTAAAATGACAGTCGTGTAAGTAAAATGGTTTTCAGACTTATGAAGCAATTGACTTGTATACAGAAATTCCAATTGGTCATAATTCTTTGAAGAAACTGACCACTGACAGGTTGATCAAACCATAAGCATGCTATCATTCATGAAAGCATTTTATGGACATTGGAAGAATTGAGTTAAAATGAACATTTGTGATATTTTCTGATATGTATTTACATATGCGTGCATATGTGTTATTAAATTTAGGAACTGAACATGTGGAAACCATTTATTAATTTTTAGAGCATTTGTTTTGATAAGTTGATTTATATCAGCTGTATTATATCATGAATTTATATAAGCAAATCATATTTAAATTCAGTTATAGTATATTGTTGCTTTGAGCTAAACATAGACAATATTTAATATTTTATGGTTGGCTTGTAATTTAGTCGCAAAGGATCAAGTAATCTTATTCAATTAATAGGGTATGAAGGCAGAAAAATAATGGTATAGCATAATTTACTAGCAGTCAATAACCAGGAAATTGGGTAGCAGTGTGGGCAATGGCTATGACTAATAATAATGAAACTAAAATGTATTTCTTATCTATTTTACTTTGATGAACCCATTTTAAATAATGATATATTTTGAGAAATTAAAAAGAATATTAAAGAAATTTTAAAAAACATAGAAATATCCACATAGAACCAGTCTTTGAAACAGTGTAACAATTTTTATCAAATAATATTAGCAAAATATCAGAGAAAGAAATTCACCATGTAGGAGATAACATTTAATTTGATAGAATTATCATACGCAAAACCAGTTGACATTGCTGTCACTGAAGCAGTATGCAATATGCATAGTAACAGGATGCCTCAAACCCACACGAACAAATATTCTTGAAGGCATGCAAGAGCAATTAGAAGATGAAAGAGAGAATTTATGGAATAAGGAATAATCTCAGCTCATGGCTGAGGGATCTGATCTTCCTACGTTACTTGGAAGACATTGAATAGGTTGAAAGTGGGAGTGCCTAATACGTGCTCAAGTGGGATTTGCTGGCACTTAACAACATGCTGTGTGAATGTGGAGAGACACAGAAAGTAATTAATGTTTATGTCAATGTAGCTTACCTTTATTCTCCTCAGAATTCTGACTTCTAAATATTAAGTTCTCAATTTAAAAGACCCTTTAGAAGACTAAATTAAATCAACTAGATAATTCAAATAAAATCAACAATTACTTAATATTGTAACTTAATTGGAAGTTGCATCCATTATATTTATTTTCTAACTGA